AAATATTTTTTTCTTAATTTTTAAACTACAATTCATTTAAAGTTTTTTATGTTCAGAAACTCATATTTCAAGAAATATCAAAAATAATTAAAAATAAAAACACAGGAAAGTGCTAGAAAATTTTAATATTGCTGTTGTTATAATAATAATCCGCAAGGAAGATGTGGATGTGAAGATGAGATCATTTGGAAGATATTTACTAAAGAGAATCTTGCGTATAGGTACAGGAATCTTATTATATCAATAAGGATGTGCTGAAAATCGATCGATTTCAGTTTGGTAGTACTGTTGGGCTATTGTTATACGGAATAAAATATCGATTGAGGAATATAATACATTATGAATAAATGCGTTAATGCGTGTTAAAGGACTGTTTAACTTAGACTTGTCTCAATTTGAGCTAGGGCAGTTATGTTTCGTTAGAGTCGTGAAGTTATAGTTATGGTTTGTTGATAAAATGCAATAGAGTACAACTAACGTAATAAGTACCAAAAAAGTTATAAATAAGATTTTTATTTTAGTACTGATTAAAGCAAATTTCATATTTTCAATTATCTGAAAGTATTACCTGAGTGACTGTATTTACAGCTACAAATTATTACAAAATGAATTCATTAAAATAATTTTTATATGCAACACATGGGACTGTTTGGGTTTAACATTCATAGTAAATATCTGATTTCGAGCCTATTTTTAATTATCAGTAGCGTGGAGATAGGAAGTAACATGGGAAAGGTTTAAGAAACAAAGGACACCATAATCATCCAACATTTAGCAGGTTATTAATTTAAAATTTAGTAGAAAACGTTACGTCTATATATGTACTATATGTCTTATTCTCATCGTTTGAAAACAAAGAAACATATTAATTTTAAGAAAAAAATGTATAAAATGTTAAATGTATTATTTTCACGATTTGAAAAATAATATAAACTATAATGAAATCTTATATTAAAATTATGAAAAACTCAGATTCCCATAAGGTGACTCTTCATAATCCAGAACACTTATTAAACTCACCTCATATATGGAAAACTGTTCAACAGGTTCCATAGAATTATAGCATGACAATAGTAATTGCAATAGTTCATCAGACGTAGTCTCTTCCGAAATGACCAGTGATTTATATTGCGATGTTGGTTGCAAGGCTGATGTATGTACACGTATTAGTCCTCCTGGTTTTAGTTGTAAACAAAATCTGTACCGAAAGAGATTTTAGTATTAAAATTATTTTAAAAGAATTTCAATTTATTTTTTTCACAACTAACCTAGATTCGCCCTTTGGATGACAAGCTTGTAGTATGGCTGGCCTAGTATCTTCGTCTAATACCAGTGTGTTTTTTACATTCGCGCGACGTACCAAAACTTCCATTGTTAGATAAAATAAACGTGGATCACGATGACGCATTTTTAATCTATTTTGGAGAAGTAATAACAAAAAATGTGGCTTAAACTTTTATAAATAGAGGTTTTTTTTTTAATTAATTTACCTTCTCAATAACTGTGTTATAACCTCTTTACTTGTGGTGTCCCATTGTATACCCAACGTTTTATACTCTATATCAATTTTAAGGCAATTGGTAAATATTTTGATTGTTGTCTGGAAGAAATTAAAAAATTATAACTTTATAGTAATTAAGTGTTACATACTACAAAAATAGTTTAATATATATATACCTATATTATTTATAGATATATACACATATATTATGTACAAATAGATTGTTTTTTAGCATAAATAACTCATAATGATTTTTAATATTTATAACATACAAATAATGTTATTGAAATCAAAAATTCACAAAATCATATGTAAAAATCACATATCACAAATCATATGATATGAATAATACAATTGGTGATCGCAAATAGTATTGAGGCATTTGTGTCAAAAACCTGACATGACTGATCCCCCCGACATATGTATGTTATATATATTCTAAATTGAAATAATAGTAGTAGTTTTAGCTTTATTTTACTTCATTTTAAACATGTATTAGATATAAATTTATAACAACTATATTATATATATAAAGCTTACAGCTATGGCATATTCGCCGTCTAAATTGAAGTAATGTAACTATATACATTGTGACCGAAAAGTTTCCGGTCATAAATAAATAAAACGCAAAATTCTTAATCTTCATCAATATTTATTTTATCTCCTTCAAAATATGCTCCATTAGAAGCGATACACAAATGCCAACGTTTCTTCCAATCATCAAAACATTTTTATAGGCGCTTTCCGGTATGGCTTTGAGTTCCCTCTGCGAATTCTGTTTTACGTCTTCTATGGATTCAAAACGCGTTCCTCTGAGTGGTAATTTGAGGTTGGGAAACAGGAAAAAGTCACACGGTGCAAGATCAGGTGAATACGGTGGCTGTTCGATGGTATTTATTGAATGTTTGGCCTTAAAATCGTTGATAATGTTGAACAAATTGAGGTGAATCGGAACAAGCCGGGCGTTGACACGTCGCATACACAAATTGTCCACCAAAATCAAACGAGCCATCTCACGACCGATGCCTAGCTCTCGTGCTATCTCTCTAACACTCACATGAGGATTTTTGAACACGATTTCCTTTGCCTTTTCAATGTTTTCGTCGGTGGTAGAGGTCGAAGGTCGTCCAGAACGCGGCATGTCTTCGACGGTCGTACGACAGTCCTGAAAGGCTTTGTACCACTCATAAACTTGAGTTTTCGATAAAACTGATTCCCCATAAGCCTTTTGTAGCATTCGCAACGATTCTGCACACGAAATTTCGTTCGAAAAACAAAATTTGATGCAAACTCTTTGTTCAATATTTTTTTCCATTGTTTTTTTCGCAACGCACTACTGAGGTGAACTGGTTTCAACAGCTGCCGTAAACGAACTGTCCGACAGATCGCGTCATTTTGGATAGTATTAAGACAGTGCTGCCAAACTACATAAACTAAATATCGAAAATATACAGCGCGCGAATTTTAAATGGAACTTCCGAACCTTTCGGTCACAATACATTCATAAGGTTTACAAAGTTTTTTATTGTCATAACTGTGCTCCGCTTTTTAGACTGGCTTTTAAGATTTGGTGTTTTAATTTGACGAGTGACTCCATAACGATACACGTCACTTTTGGAGCCATATTTCAATAGAAATAAATATTAACTGAAAGTAGTGTATAGATTGCTGGAAGATTTTCGAGTGATCATTCACGAAACACGTTTATTAAAAGTTAGTATAATAAGGTATATGGAATAATAATAATATTATAATTAACAATAATTTTAATTCAATTCAATAAATTAATAATAACAATTTAATATTGACAATATATTCAATAGTTATTATTATTATCTATCTATTTATATCGCTGAAGAGAGTGTGTTTTAGTCCGTAGACTACATATTAATGTTAGGAAGTCGGGCACACCATTCCGACAACGCTCGGTTTGACGGTACATAAAACATTGCACCTCCTCACCACAACAAGAAAATAAAAAATATTATTTATTTACTCAGAATACCATCAATTTTTCAATACATATTTCAGATTTTTCAGACAAGCATCACTCTTCGGAGAACTATTGCTCTACAACCAAACTTTGCATCAATTTTTAGTATAATTTATCTTTCTTGGATTGACAAAAGTTGTCTGATAATGAGTGTCCACTCAATGAGATATTGCACTGCATAAATATTATTTATTATTAGTCAACTTCTGCCCATTCAGGACAAGTGATATCTAAGATAAGATAAGATAAATGATGTGATATATACACATACATATATATTATATACCAATTGTAGTGATTTTAAAATTTTTATTTTCACACATTTCAATTTAAATCTTTAGTTTTGTATGTATTTTTAATATATAGGTAGATAGATTTCGATATATATTTATAAATATATAGATTTTATATTTATATTTAACAAAATATTCAATCTAAATATGAACTATATAAAGAGTATACTTAATAAAATTTTCAACCTGAATATATAGTACATATTTCATATATTTATAGGGTATATATATAGTTATATATATGTTGTATATA